CCCTGTTCATTTGTTTTTTTTGTCCTTTCCTCAATCCACCCTATTTGTCTTCCTTTTCACTTTCATTCCCTGTTACCTCCTCCTCTTGCTTTGGATGAAATGATTTAAAAAAAATCAACATGCAAATGATTAATGTTACATAAAAATACATAAAATATGAACTAAAACAATCATACAGGTCTTTCCTTCCTCAAATTTTGAGGATTTTTTGAAGTGACACTATTAAATGCAATTAGTACTAAAATTTACTTTGTATTCATAACCAATGCTTAGAAAATTTCTAAACCCTTATATGTAAATAATCTGATCAGTTTTGATGGGTACTATACTAATGCGGTTGTCAGCACTGTTTTTTAGAAACCAGTTGAGCTTTTTGATACTTGTCACTATGGCTGTCTTTTTTTGTTTTTTACTGACAAATTTTAATGAAATTTAGAATTATCCAATGTACTTTGCAGTTTCTCAATTTTTAATTTCATAGATTAGCAAACATGAAACAAACTATATTAAATTCATCTTAAGTTTAGGTTTGTTATCTATGGTGAAAAATGTCTTCAATCATCACTGCAATCTGCAAGATTTTTTACTTTTAGCTGACTTTATAGAGAACAAGGTTGACATGTACTTAATAACTTAACAAGGACTTCATGAATAATTTGTTCAGCATTTATGTAACTTAAATTGAGAAATATCAAATCAAGGTTTTATTTACTAAGGAGTTTGGTAGCATTTAATATCACATTATAAAAACAATGCATTCAGATTAGACAAAAAAATATTCTTCTGTTTGATCAACACAGCAACAACTGCAAAGTGTTAATTATACATTCCAGAAAATAAGTTGAGATCTTTTTCTCAAATTGGTACATTTTGTAGGCAAGAAATCAAAATTGGAATTTTCTGTATAGTAAACAGTAAAATGCAACACTGAAATCTAAAGGTGCATTGTGATGCATCACAAAAGCTAAGCAAAGTATTAAGAGAAAAATTTCATTAGAAACAAAGAAAAGAGTAATGCACTTTGACATGCTATCAGTCCTTTTATATGACAACAAATTCTGAAAAAGAGAACTCAAGTAACAGAAATGTGGTTCTACAGAAGGATGCTGAGAATATCATAGACTAAACATATGGGCAACAACAAAGTTTTGGAGGAAAAGGCAACAAAAAGGACATTTATACTTAACACCAGGAAGAGACAGTTGATGTTTCTGGGGCATATAAAGAGGAAAGAGGGCTTGAAAAATTTAATACTCACAGGATAGATTGAATGCAAGAGGGATAGAGGAAGGCAATGCATAATCTAGCTAATGAGCTTGAGTAAATGGATGGCAGAACAAGGTTTAGAAGAGATGACAAAAAAAAAGGGTTGCCTACCATCCAGTTCACAAAAAGATTTATTTATTAAGAACTACAACGGACAGGAAACCATGGAGAGCCATGATTGCCTATGTCTAGATGGAAACAAAAATGTTCTCATGACACTTTTCAAGTAAGTGAAAGGAATTTTTGTTTTTAATATTATTCATCTCTTCAAATTTTGTTTGGTCAATTAAACTTCTTGTGTTCTTGACATTAAAAACTTTTCAGATCATCCAGCCTTTGATTTTGTTAAGTGTCTAATCCATAAAAAAGAGAAAAAAATGGCAACCATTTTTCTTAAGAAATAGGATTTTTTTTCTGCTTTAAAAAAAAATCACCTCAACCAATGTGATAATGCCACTAAGATGCAAGGAACTACTTTGAATGAAAGAGAATGAAAAAGAGCAGAAACCCAATCCTAAACAAGAATCAAAGGATAAACCTCTACTTCTGTTTAAAAGACTAGGGAGAAGTGTGAATTGGGCGATAAGTAAACCTATCTTCCACAGACAATATATTTGGCAAAGGTTGAAGAATGTATCATCCAAAATGTTTTAACAATATCAAGCATTCATCAGATTTAGAAATTAAATTTTTATAGTAGAAACATTTATCAGGCATTCAAATTAAATTTTAAAAGAGGTAAAACATGGTAAACATTTTTCTGAATATGATTTTTGCATCTTTTCCTTTTGGATAATACACCAAATGAAGGTTGAAGAATATATCAGCCAAAATCAAGAACACTGAAATGAAATTATTCAAAAGTGAATATCAGTGACAGCTCAGAGTTATTAAGAATTTATCCATTTTTTACTTTTTGTTTTTAAAACTTACATCAATTAAGAACGAAATTCATTGAAAAAATAGAAAAAATAGGTCACTGACAGTTGTTTGTTCTTTTTGATTTTATTGTAAAAAGAAATTGTTAAAAACTGGGTTAATTTTAAGGGATAAGTGGATCTTCCTGTATTAAGTAGTATGAACTTATAAATAATTAAGTGCTTTGTTGAAGCACTTGAATTCCTGTTTAAATATTCTGATGAATATGCTGCCATTACTGGTAACAGCCGACAAGGAAGTTAATATCCAAAATTTTTTGTAAGGTTTATTTCACTACCTAGCCAAGCTGTTACATGGATTGGTTTGAATGGCAGCGTTTAAAGTCAAATTATTTACTGAAGTAAATAAAAATTTCTAAGCAAGATGGATGTCACTTCAGCTACTATTAAAATTTGTGATCACATAGATGACAAAAATCTAATGTAAATAAAAGCATACACAATAGGTATATATACTTTATAGCAGAGGGATTGTGCGTGCATGTATATATATTTTTTTAATCATTTCACCCCAAGCAAGGTGATAAAGCCACTAAGACGCAAGTGCTTACTGAGAGTGAAAGAAATTGAGAAAACATTAGTGAGGAGAAAGGACAATAAAAGAACAGAATTCAAAAAGACAGAAGATGATTAGTTCAGTATATTTGAACACCAGTTGTTCTTGTAAACATCTTTTATTAAAAAGAATAGACATTTTATGGCTATTAAATTTACTGATCTTTTTCTTTTCTAGTATGTGAATAATGTTTCACATATTTGGCAGTTGCTAGTGTATAAATTTGCCAAAGATCTTATTTTGTCCAAGTTTTTGACCCATATGAGTCATGGGGTGTAAATCTTCCAATCGTTGAATTGTTAATGAGATGAACCAAACCATGAGTTGACCCAAAACCTTGTGAGAAGAATTGAGTAGACAATATTGTTTAGAAGTTGTTGATAGATTTGCTAACATAATCACAAGTCATCAAGAAGGAGATTTTGAGGGTACTGTCCTTGTTCAACTAGGGATCATTCCAGTTGTAGTATAAACCATAGACTGACTCTGTGGGTGCTGCAGAAACACAAACATGGCTGAACATGCATCTGTGACAGGAAATACTTGGAAATGAGCAATCAACTATTGCATGACTTTACACATATATGTGCACACAATGATGGCTGTTGACTTGTTAGACAAGAATGACCATTACTGACAAGTTAAATCGAAGGTTACAGTTTTGAATTCTACTATTTAACCCATAGCTGGGAGGATAAGAGATGGATTCATGTTTTCCTAGGGTATATGTATGTGGGTGAATATAACAAATTAGACTGGAATTAAAACAGTTCTCCAATTTCTCATTCTGACTCATTATTCATTGCATCCCACCCGTACATCCAAGTAATGCTTGTCGTGAGATTATAGTCATGTACAACAAGCACGACACATACGTGGATTAGCCCTGTAGCAGGTGTTACATCAGTTTTCCTTCTAGATGGATGCTTTGTCAAAGGCTTGAGGGCCGTCTTTCTTGGTGAGATAATTGTGCATCTGGACACCAATCTAGGTGTTTCTATGTCCCCACACATATAGACCTACATACATATATTACAAGACACATACTGTTGATCTAATCTGATATAAGTTCATCAGACAAATAGATATTTACCACTGCTCCTGCCACACAACAGATGTGACATAAGGTCAGTTTAAGGTGGGTTTATCAGCAGTATTGTGTAAAAATTACTAAACCTATTTGGTACTTTCCCTTTTGGGGATGCCTCAGGTGCCAGGCAATAAAATTCTTCTTCTTGTCTTGTAATGGCATTCACCCAGGGTGGGTTGAGCCGGCTCCAATTGAATTGACCATATTGCGCGTCAAGGCCTTCCACCCCCATCGATCGGCAGCAGAATCGACGGCATGATCAAGCCATTCGCGATTCCAGCGTTGGACCCCAAAAACGCGAGGACCAGACATGAGTTCCATATCTGCTTTGACCATTGTGAGCCACGTCTTGAGTTGACCACCTCGGCGCTTTTTCCAAACAGTGGGTGCATGTGGTGCCACCAGTTTATAGACAAACTCATCACCAGGCTGAACAGGAGACTCCGGTGGTTGGGCCACATGCTGCAGCGGCCTGGTGATGAGTTCATCTGTAAATTCCAACCCCACCTCACCATGGCAGGGGCGGTGGCAACATGTTCCTATCAGGACTATGCTGTCCAAACCTCAGTTCCTGGTACGGCCACTCATGGTAGATTGGTCTGACACGGCACGGCTAACGGGGCTCTGGTCATCAAAAGGTCTGGTATGCCTGGGTTAGACAGCAGGGAAGTGCTCCTGCTGGCCTACAAAATAGTCCAATAGGCGTGTGCAACAAGATCACCTCTGCCAGTCAAAATCCTATCCCAAACTAAATGGGAGGTGTGAAAGGCGAATGTTTGGCGCCTTAAAACCGAGCCTCAAAGCCTATACATGCAGGTTTGGGGACCACTTGTGAATTCCAAATTCCCATGAAACTCCAATGAACACACCAAATCTGTGAAATACCACTACAAGGCAATAAAATTGGCCCCCCTGGAGCTTGGGTTAAAATACAAATCCCAGCCAAAAGCAAATAGGTTTATAGGTATCCAGTGGAAAGAGCATAAATTTATTTAGAAGTCAATGGGTAGAACACATTTCAACTGCACGTGAAGTAGGTCAATTTATTAAAGTAAAAGTTTACATTAGCTGAAGGCTATCAGTTCAATAATTATCCCAGGAAGTAAATATACAGTTCAGTTATTTAACATCTTAACACATACATTGCAAACAGTTCTTGTCCGATCACTGAAGTTAAGCAACCTTGAACCTGGTCAGTATTTAGATGGGTGACCATTTAGGAATACCAAGTGCTATAATCTTAGATGTGTGGGCTTGTATTGAATACCATATATGTGCAGCACCTGCCTATATATGGTAGCAGTACTCCATTCTCGGCTTGATCTGTTTTTTGTAATGAGAGAGGATAGCAGGTGGAGTCAGGTACTTACTAGTGTGATATCAGGAACCGACCACTTTTCCAGCATCTGGATTAGCACTGTAGCAGGTGTTACATCAGTTTTCCTTTGAGATAGGTACGTTAAGGTGGGTTATTGGCAGTATCATGGGAAAATTGATGTATCCTATGTACGAATTCCACCTGTGGTTGAGTTTAAGGCACAATAGGCACTCAAAGCACAGGGCCTTCATGAAGAAGGAACACCCATTCAGCATAATTGGTGAAAGCTCTGGGTCCAATCAGTGACGATGGAATGTCAATAGTTTGATTTTTGAGGCACTGAATATGAGCAACCAGTTTTACCTCTACTGAGCTGTTAAAGCCAGGCCAGAGGAGAGATCAGCTGACAATCTCTAGTCATCTAGGGTTTTGGGGGGACACCCATATACCATTGTATGATCAGTATAGATATTCACAAATGACCAGCATATATAGGTTTGAACGCTGTCCACAGATACTGGTCATAACTATTTTAATTTCAAAGTAGGCCAGGTACTTTTTAATGCAATATAAAAATAGGATATCAACTAAAGAATTCAGTCATAATTTCTTAACAAACTTTTTTACAGTATGGTCCAGTTAAACACTATTTAAAATCAATAATAAAATTAGTGATTCATTATTTGTTGGCCAATCATATTGCAATTCCACTTTCAAAGCAACTTATGGTTGGCTAGACATACACAAAGTCGAAAAGAACAGATGATATTAAATAAAGTTCAATTACAAGATCTGGTCAGAAACTAATGCCTTTTTTAATTTAATTTTAAAAATATTAGTTACAAATCCTCATTTCAAGTTATAAACAGTGAAGTATCTTGAAGCCCAAAGGAAAAATTTGTGGAGTTACCGTCTCATTTCTTACACATAATTGTCTTTCAAAATGGTTTCCTCCTCAGGGCACATATAGCAAAGAGAATTTCAGTTTTTAAAAAAAATAAAATGCCGCAAATGTTCACTAGAGGTTGGTGTATATTTATGAAAAAGCTGCATTTGATATAATCATAGTAAGGAGATGGGTCAGTAGGGTTAATAGCAATCTATGAGAGAAAGGAAAAATTGACATTAGTGACAGGTTCTACAATAGCAGGTCAGTCGCTGCTATGAATGAGAAGGTGCAATATACTTATACACTTATTACAGATGACAAAAGAATTACTACAGCAAAATTTTCAGAAAGTTCTTAACTATACTATGGCAGTGCTCGTAATAATTACAATTTCTTAGCTACGTAAAGGTTTATGCAAAGTGGGTTCTTCTGCCATATTTTATCTTTACAAGTGTCAGACCAAAAACGAATGCTACTATATCTGGGCTGAAGCTGGCCAATCTTCACTTTTCAGCTTTGAGGGTTCAAAATCATTTACACGACTTTTTGTGGGGGGATGATTTATTCTCTACCCTGCACAGCCTCTTTTCCTACTGCAAACCTATTTCTACTTTATTGCTATTTCCATGGCAAATGTTAAAAAAAAAATCCTGTCTTTAGTGCCACCATCCCAGTTTTTTGTCACCAAGGCTCACCTTGTTATAGCCACAGGGTTAAATCGCCTTCATTCTCTATATATTCCGTTGGTAAAAAAGATGTTCTACTCAGAAAGCTTCTTCCCATGAACCTCTACTTTGTGTAGAAGACTCCCATGTGGATGCTTCTATAAACACTAGTTTTAAACTCTTCAAGTTATATATCCTTTATAATCTTCACTTCCCATTCTTACAGCCATATCTCATATTTCATTCAGTATCACTCTACCTTAAGTAGCTCTTGGGCCTCGTAATGGGTGAAAAAGACCATGAAGAAGCAGAGAGTAGTTATTGTACATTAGCTTTTGCAGCTGGACAATATGGATAGCATACAGATGGCAGTTGTTCTCCATTAATGATGACACAATTCCCACATGGCTTAGAAAGCTTCTATGAAGTGAGAATCCATGTCATTATTTACAAGCTGAATACTATGATTGAAAAAAAAAATTTTGGACGATTTATAATCCTGTGATGTTTGGGCTCAATTTGGCGGGCTTTATATGCTTATACCAGTGGCACCCCAATGGTGTGACACATGTAATAGGTGTAGCAGAAGAGGATAGCAGGTGAGGTGGAATGATTGAAAGACAATAATCAAAGATTTAGAAACAGTTTCAAAAATTTTAAATATTATTATGGATTACTTGTAATTGCATGCATAAGTCCCAGTACATGTAGTTATAAATGATTTTTGACTGATTTTATCATTGTGATATTTTTGTATTATATCAAGTATTAAGAATATAGTATGGTCTGCAAATTGGAGGAGAGAGTTATCAATAATAATGTTCTGACTTTGAATCTGCGGATATCTCCCTCTAATCCTCTCTCTGGACCTTCTTTGTCATAGGGCTGCTGGCATCTTTTCCCCATGACTTCCCTTTGGCCAGATGCGAGCAAATTTTAATTCTGAAAATGCAGCCCAGAGAAAAAATTTGGGAACCACTGGCTAATAGTATCAAATTTTTTTTATTAACAAATAAGAGCAAGCATTACTATTTAACCAATATTCATAGTACAGGGATAAAATCGAGCAATTACTTCTAAAATATTGCTGAAGATAACAATTCTTCCCACTACACCACAGAAACTCAACAAAAGATGAATTTAAGTGCTGGCAAGTTGTTCCTTCATTTTGTTGGTTTTCACATCTAGTGTATATTTTTTTAATATGCAAACTCCTGCTTCAGGGTTGACTAAATTATATCAATGGTTTAAAACAAAAAGATGTAAATGTGTTGCATTCAATTCCTCAGTTGAGTAAATTCACCAAAAATCTCAGGAGAGAGTTGACTTGTCAAAAATATCGTCCGTTGGTCATATTCTGAACCGCACAGATGTCAAATAAGAGTAACAATTTGTAATTTTGGCTTACAACCACATCATATTGATATACTGGTTCTTGTACGTTCAGCAAAGTTAAGCAACATCAAGTCTGGTTAGTACCTACATGAATACCACTTTGGAATACCAGGTGCTGTAAACTTGGATGTATGGGTGGTGTTAATGGATAATGGCTTGGAAATTGAAGAGCTGTCCTAATTCCAGTTGGGTTTGTTGTATTCCCTTAAATGCAAATACCTTTGGGAAAGGTATGAATCTACCTCTTTTTCCCTCAGCTATGGGTTAATTAATAAGAGTTTTATCATTAAATCATTAAAAAAATTTACAATCTCAAAATATTTTCTGGCTTTAAATAACTTGCAAAAGATTGATAAATTGTCAAAAAAAACAAATCAATTAACTAATCAATTAGTAATATTTTAATAAACTAGTTTATTAAAATATCACTTTAATTACTGTAAATTAAATACAATTATTAACAATATTCACTTTACTACATAAATTAAAATATTACTTATTTTATTAAAAATATTACCTACCTTAAATTTTTAAAAAATATTTATTATTTATATGATATTTCTCAACTCTTACAAATCAAGCCTTACAGACATATGTTGAAACAGCGATTTTCATTAAGCAATGTCAAGCCTGATCAGTACCTAGATGGGTGACTGCTTTGGAATATAAGGTAATGATAATGATAATATTAGGTGTTTCCCTACAAGGAAACATTTGGCATTTATTAACTGAGCAGCCAATACTGTTTTCGGTTGAAATCTATAAAATCTTTCTCTTAAAAGGTAAGTAGGTTTTTCATATCAAGTTGATGTTATTGTTCTTTCTGGTATTGATGGAAGTTTTCTTTCTAACCTTTTATTTGAAGTAGTGTGGAATGTCAACATATTGATTATGTAATTATTTTCTCTTTGAGTTACATGTGTTATCCATTTTAGTTGTTGCTACTGTTGGTAGTCCTCAAGTGATGTGGCTTCTGTTATTTGATACAATTCTTTGTGAATCTGTAGCTCCAGTCCACAATGTTTAAAGAATCATGATCTTTGCCAAGAGCTTCAGACTTCACTCACTGAAAGGATATTTTAGGTTCTGTGAGTTTGGATGTGTGGGTGGTGTAATGGGGTAACAGCTTGGAATTGAAAATTGGAAAACAGAATTCCAAATCCAATCAGGTTTGTTATATTTACTTATGCACAAATACTATTGGGAAAGGTATGAATCCATCTCTTCTCCTCCCAACTATGGGTTAATTAGTAGAATTTGTATCAGTAAAAATCATTATTATCTCCAAAAGAATTCTTAGTGACATTATCACCTTGCTTGTGGTGAATTGATTAAAAAAAAATTATCAAATATGTTTAATATCATTCTTTTTATATCAGTTATGTGCCATGTGTGATACATGCTTAGACAATCATGTATCTTTTGATACATGACTGATTTGGCAGATTTTTTCCCACTGCAGGTTGCCATTTCTTTCTGTAGACCAGTTGCCATCCAAGGCTATAGAACCTGGTCTGTTCTGCTATTTACCCATAGCTGGGGGGAGAAGAGGAGGATTTATACCTTTTCTAAGGATATCAGCAGGTAAGTGAATGTAATAGATTCAACTGGAATTTGAACTTGGCTCTCCAATTCCTCAATCTGAGCCACTATCGATTACTCCACCGTATACTGTATCTCTTCAGGCCAAGACTGAGCAATGAAAACTCTTTACAATTTCCTATCCTTGTAACGTTGTAACAATGTTTGTTCTGTCATAGTCTCTATTCTGTCATCCATTTATACAAGTTTATTAAGCTGAAGAAAAAATAACTTTCAACGTGTTGTACATAGTAAATATTTCAGACCTATTTCAGTGAAAAGATAATGGCAATAATGGTTAGTAGTGGGGTGATATTTAATCTAATCTACTTACATATCAGTTAGCATAATGAAAATTATTTAGCAGAAATTTGCTGCAGTCAACAG